GAGGAGACGGAGAGAGAGGGAGAAAGAGGAGACGGAGAGAGAGGGAGAAAGAGGAGACGGAGAGAGAGGGAGAAAGAGGAGACGGAGAGAGAGGGAGAAAGAGGAGACAGTAAACAGTAAAAGCTATTCTTTAAATACATAGACCTGGAAATCTCTGAAGTTTGGGAGGCACTAATCAATAACATTTTTTCCAATGTAAAAAGAGTACCGATAAAAAAAAAATAATAATAATAAATAAATAATAATAATAAAAAATAATAATTAATACGAATATGAATACAGATGTCCTATCCAATTCTCCAATGTGGAAGAAAATTCATATTATGTATGTATATGTATATAATATATATATATATAATAAACTCTTATGCTTCAGTCATAACATTCAAGGCTTATATCAATAGATTTTTCTCATAGAGATACACATTTATTCAAAAAAAGTGTACAGCAGGCTACATATCTCAGATCCTATTATATAAATGACCCAATGTGTTCCTTTAGAACTGTGCCATTCCTCCATACAATTATACTATCATATCAAAGTACATTATACATACAGTTGGCATTCATTAGCACACGTATATTGTACGATAAAACATGAAAACATGAAAATATGGATTGTAAAAACACAATAAAGTGTCTGATGTGTTTTAAAGTATATACTCCGTTGCATTACCCTTTTGTAATCACGCTGATAATTATATTCCACACAGATGAAAAACAATGAAGCAAAAGAAGTTTCAATGGCGGGCAAGATTAAAATCAAAAGAACGTACACCTGAAATCTCATACCAAAGTGAGAATCAACATTGTGAGACGTCTAGGAATGTATCCTATGTATGTATAATTCATGAAAATTAGCTGAAGATAAATACTGATTCACATCACAGGGTAAAAATGTGGCAGCAAATGCAAACATCACTGCACTTCACAACAAGTACACTTTCTTGAGTTTTTACCTATATTTTGTCACATGTACATGTGAAGCCAAAAAATGCAGAAAATAACACATTTACACAGTGTAACTCGGGTTTCTTTGCAATAATATCTTGGTAAGGAGACACAAGCCCCAGGTATGACAGTGAAAAAGTACGCACATTTTCACATCATGAGGCTGTCTTTTTTTTCTTTCTTTTTTCTTCTTACTTAACCTACACTTTGTTACTGTGGAAAATATCAATGCTCAAACAAGGTGAACTTAACAACATGCAATTCACAAATAAATCCACAATGAAAGAAAACAATAATGAAAATCAAAATATTCAAACTGAAGTAAATACAACACACCTCTTGCCCTAATTACTTGGGTATGAGCAAGAGGCAGAAAAAAATGGAAAACCATCATCACAAATCAACGACTTTCAAGACACACCAAGAACTCCATGCAACTGGATGGGTTATCAATATTTTCTTCTCTAATTGAAAATAATTTCTTAAAAAGCCAAAATCTGTCAATCTTTCAAATACTTTAGCAGACCATTTTGTTTTGGATGACCTATTAAATATTCATTTTGTCTTTGTCATCACTCAAATGCTGAAATTTCTTTTCCATACTTTCCAAAGTTACACATTTCATTACAATGGTTAAGATATACCTACCTAATCAATTTGAAACATGAATTTTATAAAAGGAAATTTATACACAAATTTATTGTCACAGAATAAAGGGGTTATTCAATGTTTAACTTATGCCAAAACAATGAGTCTAGCATCTGCAAATGATAACAGTTAGTAAACAAGAAAGGATCTATTCCTACATGTTGGATTTTGCCTTCAGTATACAGCTATCCAGTACTTCAAATAGGATTAAACATTTCTATTGTCTTTACTTTTCATTAAGCAACTTTAAGGAGATAAAAGAATATCAGGAAAGTTGACTCCTAGCTGAAAGCCAAATACTTGAGTGATAAACAAGAGAATGATACTAATAACAGGTCATTTTCCGAAATTCAAACAAAGAATTGCAAAGAAATAAGAGAAAAAAGAGAAATATAACAATCATTCATTCAACACCTGTATATTTCCTACAGTTACTGCAAAAGATCACAAAGTTCGTATGCAAATGTTAAAATATACGATATGTAACTTCATCTGGACTGACAGAAATCATAATGAATTAAAAATAAGCCTGCAAAACAGCACTCACACACACACACATACACTCAAAACGTTGCAAAACAAACTATCTGGCCATACAGGAAATTTAGTCATCTCTGATAATGTTGACTATTGGCCAGTTTGCTAAAACTGTGCAAGGCCCAACCCCATGAATATTCATTATATGGACTTGCATATGCACAGAAATAAAAGCATATCTATCAGTTAAGACATGCATATCTACCGTATAGATAGATAGATAAATGCATATATATATATATCTGGCGGAATGATAAATATGCATTTATTTCTATATACAAATATTCATTGGGTCGGACATTGTACAATTTTAACAAACTGGCTGTATTTCTCTGTTTTGGCTGTCATAATCATTACTTCCATTTTTAGAAAAGTTAAACACTTGCAATATGATGATGCCTTGTTGGTACGTAATTTAGTTAAATCAATAAAAGACTTTTACTGCCACATGGAACTTGTGCATACAGCTGGTTGAAAGTTTATAGATTACTTTGTTGTTAATGCATAAGAAAAAAAAATAAACAATTAAAGAAAATCAGAACAAAAACAGTTCTTTCATCAATTCTACTCTGGTTACCAAAGTTGCATCAAAATTTCATTGATGTGTCAAAGTAAGTTAGTGGCAAATGCACTTAATCTTCCATTTGAATAAAACAAATTCTGCAAAGGTGAATGAAAAAAAAAATCATCAGTTGTATACAATGTGCCAACAAAAATTAACCTAATAATATCTTAGATGCAAAACAGCAACACCTTTAAGAATTTTAACAAATCTCAATTATAACAATATTGCTCCTCTGTTCCTTCTCTCTATGTCCTCAGGTGGAAAAAATAAAATCTCTCAAATTCAAAAACAAAAAGTAAAGTGCAAACAGAAAAAAAGGCAAAGGTAGTACTGCATAGAAATCAATAATGTTAATGTACTTCAGTCAACATTACAACAAACATGGAATTACAACATGACAGTAATAGATGACAATCATATTGCATCTCAAATGTACAACTAGTAACAAATTCTTTAACATTACAATTTCAACTGGAGACTCTTGCCACGTATTCAGTTTTATCAAAATACCAAATGGATTTAATCTAATTTGATCCATTAAGGCCACATACTGAGATCTTCAATCTTTCTGGTGACTAATCTCCCATAATTTAAGATATATATATATCCTTAGAACCCCATTTGTGTTTTATATCTTATGTGTTTTATATTTCCATTCCTTTTTTATATGTATGAAGATTTGTTTAGGCCTAACCTACTACTACATCAGATCATGGATGTCCAAAGTTCCTATCTAAACAATGTCTGTGAATGAGAGTGAGTTAATTACTTCCTCCATCTTAAAAAAATATGAAGCATTTCTTAAACTGTGATCAGTTGAAGTAAAAGAGGGAGAGGTGGAGGAAGAGGGAAAAGACCGAGGGGGGGGATGGGGTGGAAGGGAAAAGAGGAAGGGGAAGTGGGGGAAGAGAGGGAAGAAGCGGAAGGAGGAGGGAAGAGGAAGAGGAGAAGGAAGAACAAAGGGGGGAAGAAGAAGGAGGAGGAGGAACAACAAAGGGGGAAGGGGAAGAGGAGGAGGAAGAACAGAGGGGGTAAATATGAATAGGAAGAGGGAAAGAAGTAGGAAAAAGAGGCGGAGGAAGTAGAGGTAGAGATAGGAGGTAGAAACAGAGAACATCCTTCCTTTATAAAAATAAGCTAGTAGCTTGAGGTTCACTTGGGCAATGTTCTTCTATCTCAACAACTTTACCCTCTAGTTCACCTGGGTTTATTTTTGTGATCAAAACAATTGCACTAAGTTCACTGGTCCCAAGTTCACTCCCTAAAAAACTGCTTGGCAATCGTCAGGAGTTTCTGGTTTCTCAGACAAAGTAATCCTTCCAACTATCACACTACCTAAGCTTCTCTGTTTGTTGTAGGAATAAATCTGCAACTTCTCAAAAGTGTCTTTTTTCTTCAAAAGTTGTGTCGTTCATGTGTGAAATTATGTCTTTTAAAAAGGACTTCTGATTGCATCTATAACTTGTGGGAAGATAAAAAATAGCAGATGACTGTAACCAACAGCTGCATCACAGTGGTAAAATATAATTGCTTTAATCAACCAGTTCTTATTCAATGAACATTCTTGTCTTTGCTAATGCATTCAGTGCACTGAAAGAATAACCAGTTGATCAACTTTATATCATGCAATTTGTGACAAATATCTTAAAGGAAGCCTTCAGCAACCTCATGCTATATATTTGTATCTGTTATATCAGAAACTTCTTCAACCCAATTTATGAAACCGGGAATCATACCTACAATTTACCTATAATTTTCTCTGTGTGATTTATGAAAGGCACTTTAACAAATTCGAGATTACAACTTTCCCTTGCTTGGTGAATGAGATTCCTCAGATATACACATATACATACATTCAATTTTCTTATGTACTACTGAAGTGCCTTCATAATCCACCATAGCTAATCCTCCTTTTTCAAAAAATATCTATATGTATTCATAAATAAATTAGGTATCTACTTTCTATTCTTTTCCTACTTGTCTACATACCCATATTATTCAACCCAAAGTGGAAATAGTGAGACTATACCAACACTTTTTAGAAATTGTATTATATGACGCCTTCAAACATGTGTATGTAGCATAATGTGAAATTTGCCATGTGACTATCATCAATAAAAATATTTTGATAGATATCAATGTCATTCTACTGAGAATCCTACAGATGTAAAAACATATCCATAAAATATATTAGTGACCAGTATTTCAGTATAAACTTCATTACAAATTTTTCAACTCGTTATTTGCATATATGACAATTATGCCTCATTCGAAGGATGAGATGCAAATCAAACGAAATCTTACATAATTTGACAGGTTTGATTATGGCCCACTTTACTTGTAATTTCCTATCTCAGCTGCTTAATTCTGTTTCTTCTCTTCTCCATTGTCTTCAGACACTTCTGAAGGATCTGAGGATGATCGGTTGTCTTCAACATTGCCCTTGCTAATTGTTGTTGCTATGATGCGCAAAATCAAGTATGTCCAATAAATATGCAACAACAAAAGAGCAATGAGTAGAGAGTTAAATATATAATAAGCAGGGAACATGGGCAAAATTGTTGGTGCTTCAATGGCAGTGCTGTATACAATCCAGAGTGGGTATATACCAACACGTGTAATGATCCACAAAATAGCAAAGATGGCAAAGACTGCATCACAGAAAGCTTTGTGCCCTGAATAGATGCTCATTTTTGCCAACTGGAGGGGGATATCAGCACAGTCATGGACAATGAGAACTAGCGTTCCAATTCTCGTTAGGTTGCAGGTCCAAGAGAAAGTGATGAGTGCAATGGTGACCATGTGGTGGATAAACATCTGCCAAAAATCTTTGCGCTTGGCTTCAAAGAAATGTGTAAAGGTCATGGACCAATAGAAGGAGAGGGATATCATGTAGTACCACCAGACATCAATATCAACACTGTGGTTAGGGTATTCGTACCAACAATTGCGGATATCCCAAAGCCAAGACTTATCTGACATCACATATAAGCCATAGAAAAAGATGAAGGTATAATATGTACACTGCCAGGCACACTCCATAAACTTGGTGAACTTATTGACACGAGTCATGGCTTGCCTCTGCCGTAACCATCTTTCTACTTTGCGTTCTGTCCACTGCAATTGTTTTGCACATTGACAAATTTCATTTTCTGGTGGTTGTTTTTTGCTTCGAAGGAACAATTGTTCTAGAGTCTCATTAGGCACCACAGGACGAGGCTTTACATCTCTCAGGCCTACTGCCAGAGCTATATGTCGATAGACAAGCTTATTGAGCACCAAAAAACGGAGGCCAATTGCCAAAAATGCCATGAAAATTGGATACGTCCACAGATCACTCCAGTTAGCATAGCGAATCTTCTCATTGGGCACGAGGTCTTCCCAGCTGTAGTTCGGGGGCAGCCACACATCAGGGTTCCAGAACCAGCTCGAAAACTTGTGCCACATCCACGCAGCCATCCTGAGGACAAGAAACGCCATCACCAATCCATGTCATCACGAATTCTTCATCATTTTCAGGCAAAAGATGGGATGATCAACACCGAGAAGAAGAAGAATCTTGTAATAATGAAGAGCAGAGCAGAATGAAGGTGTTTTACACTACAAGTCTTTTTCCCTTAAAGTCCAACTCCAAATACCATTACAACAATAATTTAAAAGGAAGAATTCTAAGTTTTGGTGCTCATGTTAGTGCTGGACTACAGATCCACTGAGCAATTATGTCTGATCTACAATGTGCTTTCACTGAAAATGAGGATTCTAAATCAAAGTGCAATTACTAGACTGGGGTGCTTGGAAACAATTCCCCCCCAAAACTACAAAAGTAATTAGGAACAAAATGAATTCATCACAAAAATAAGTAATTAGGAACAAAATGAATTCATCACAAAAATAGCCCAGTCTTGACAAATTTGTACTTACTGACTGACACACTCCAAGGATCCTGTCATGCAAAGCTTAAACCAAAGACCCAGGAGAGACCAGCTTACCTAACTGTCACTATTACCACAGTGGCTGATTTGGTAACCCCATATTTAGGCACTATGTGGTTAATGCCCTGATTAGATTAGAGGTATTACTAATGTAATTTCAAATGTGAAACAAACATTCCTGAATATTAATCTTATCTGAGTCATCATTCAATTTTCTTTTCCTAACTTAATTAAAACATACTTTTTTCCAAATAAAATAATTGCAATGTACTACATATGACTTCAACAAAGCTTGCTACACAGTTTTATCATTCCAAGGAGATGAGTCAATATGTTTAGCTTCTCCAAATTAAGTAATGCCCTTTAAACATATATGCTAATATCAGGTCACTGTTAAAAACTTACAGCATTATGCTAATAACTTTTCCTTGTGTTATCTTTGTGCTTTTATCTTAATTCTGGGAGTCTAGCAAATGATCCGTTATGAAAAATGAACGTCCTCTAAGCCTTTGTTCTGTTTCACCTTCTCTCTCTGTGAAGACTAAACACTGTAAAGATGAGAAGTATAAAAGAAAGTTTACAAGAACAAGATGATGAAAAAGTCTAGCCAGATTTTTTTTCTCTCTCTCTGTCTCTCAGGGAATTGTTCAAGACCATTTACAATTCCTAATGACCATTTAGCAAAACAGGGACTAGATTGTTTACCTATAAAAATCTTTTTACTTAGTGTCACTTATAATCAATATCAAATATTCTATTAATAGCAAATACAGCTGTCAGCCAAATTTTGCTAAATCACTGGGTCTGTGGTGAAAGTGTCAAAGGTAAGCGCCCTCCTCTTTCACTGTGGAAAAAGCAAGAGCACTTTTTTATCTATAAATTTCTTTATATATCCACACATAGAATATATAAATGTTCAGTTTTGTATCATATTCTACATATATACACAAATGTGATACATAAAATAACAAATTTACAAAATACATATCTATGACCTTAAAGGAAATAACAGCATGCAGGAAGAGCCCATATTTTAGTACAAAAATGTAGGAGTTTATAAATAAAAAAGTATATAAAATCTAATATTCTACTACATAATACAGAATATGATATAGTTTATCATCTCATTGGTATAAAGGAGAAAAAAATACTCAATGTTATTACTAATGACATTAGTAATTATTTTAAAATCTTACAATTCTACAAATCAGCAGTTTAAACTGTAGTAACAAGTTGTAGTTACATTTTTCAACCAATTTATTAATGATTGCATATGTTGTATCAATCATCATATAGATAATCTAATGCATGATCTAAATTTTGTTAGTGATACAAGTTTCCTGTGAATTAATTGTAAATATCAGACTTATCAGTCCTAATGACATTATTTTTTTTAATGAGTAGAGAGTTACAATAACAAACAATTTAGTACTATCTGTATCTTAACATTTGGTAAATCTTCACCTGTTATATAACTGATATAGCTATTAGCCTTTCTAAGCTTAAGATAAGCAAGTTGGGGTACACTGTAAATAATTATTATCTAGTGTGCAACTATGTGTATTTGCTTATTACAAATGCCCAATGAAAAGACAGCAATACACCACATATACAACCTCCATTTTCATATCAACACCTATCACAGGTAAAAATAATTATTACAACATTTAAGACTTGTACAGACCTACCATTAAACTACTGCTAACCCTTTAACTGTGTCCATCACCAACTGATGACTTGAGCCAAAAAGTGTCAAACCATTCTCATCATTAATTGACAACCAACTTTTCTTGTCTTCAATTTACATGATCATGCAGTAAAGATCCCTTTAGCTATCACCAAGAAATCTCGTAGATTGTATAAAAGGCATGATGTGTGCCTAAGTTGGCTCGCTGTACATCTAGTATGGAGGACTACCCTTTGTTCTTTGATGGAACCCCTCCCATATCCTATTTGATATGTGTATATGTATATATGTATACATGTATACATATGTATACATATGTATACATATGTATACATGTATACATATGTATACATATATATATATATATATATATATATATATATATATATACACAACACACACACAAAGTAAATAATGCAAATGAAGGAAACTGTAATGCTGAACAAAGGAAAACATCTGAGAATTCCTTGTCTATCTTCAATGTTTAATCTTTGTGACCATGAGTCCAGCACCTTTGACAACAATCTAATGGTTAATGGTTAGAAGCAAATAAATGTGCTAGACATCTAAGGTCATATAGCACTATAGGAAGGTACTGTAAAGGGTGGCGACAGGTGATAGTTGCTATGTGTCAACTAACTATAGTAATAGGTATTTGACACATACTTAGGGATATATATTCCATTTTATATATATACATACATACATACATACAGTAGTGTGTGTATAAGATATATATATACAGATAGATAGACAGATAGAAATACGTTAGTAGATCTATGACAGAATGAATAATCCCTCAATGCAAAGTATACAATTAAGGTTTCAAGTTTTTACAATTTTGATAGAGACTATCAAAATGTTAATCACTACATGTTGGAATTATTTGTTCCCTCTTGCATTATGTCCCATCTGTTATAACAACTCTTGCAGGGTTTTCATTCACACTCCTGATCATTAAAATTGTCCATCTGTTATATCAACAGACTTTGCAATTCTAAGATTATCATAGAAAAAAGACATTATTTCACATAACTAGTACAGTCTACAATTTTCAAAATCACATAATTGGAACTGCAAATGTAAACAACTTTGTACTTAAGATTAAATAAAAAAAGAAAGAAAAACATTAAATTATATAATAACCTTTAAACAGTCTGCTGGTTACAGTTTTCAATTTACTATTGTAAGGGAATTTAAAGAAGTGTACAGATTTTTTCTTCTTTTATTTTTTAGATTCATCTCCTTATACTCTTATTTATGATGGTATCCTTAATTCTTGTAGTCTTTCTATGGCACTTTTTTAAACTACCTTGACCCTATCCATTTATTACCTTCTGTCACATGCCAGTGACTAATGTCTGGAAGACAGTCTGACACCTGACAGGCGAACCGCCCTTAAAACACATGCAGTTTGAAACATGTTTCTCCCGCCGCTAGCTAAACACTCCCTCCTGTGGCCTGCAAAATGCTTGTGTAGAATTCCATGTCTCTGACAAAATTAAACGTACTTCCGCAAGCTTAGTTCTGTTACAACCGGCAATTGGGGCAATTTAAATGCAGCAGTTAACCCCTCATGTAGTAGAGCCCTTTGCCCATGTATCAGGTAAGATTAATTTTCAGATATCTAGTTTATTACTTTACTTTAGATTTTTTTTTTTTTTTCTTTTTTTTGACAACTCGTAATCTTTCATTACAGGAAAAAATAATACTATGGTGATTATTCTGACTGCACCATTTGATGACTTTGTGTACTTAAGAATAAGAACTGGAAAACATAAGATTCATTAAGTACAACTATGTCAAGTATTACTGTCTTTGCAAACTATAATCTGTACAAGTGAATATCATATAATATATCTGAGTGTAAACCAAAACCATAACAATGAAACAAATAATGGAATGAACACATATACATACAACTCAATTTAAGAGATTATGCTGTTGGGATTTAAAACTTTAGTCAGTTACTAAGTGAAGCCAGTATAATCTCCAGTGCAAAAAGAATGTGATCATCTTTTAACCACTCAGTTGTGGGCACAGCTACAGCCATCATGATGTAATCAGAGCGGTAGGCCAGTTAATTGGAGCACAAACTCTGCTGAAAGACTAAACTAATGCATAATAATAATTAAGTCAGAGAAAATTTTGGCTGCATCATGATAAAGAGTTAACCCCTACAATCTTATTCATCATAATCATGCTAGCCCAGTCAAAACAGACATTTTTTTTTTTTTTTATTATACAATATGATCCATGAAAATATTTAGCTTAATGGGCAGGTGAGGTGAACATGCCCTCATGCAAAAATTTGAGAAAGATTTTCCACTGAAGGCCAGGGTGACGGGACTGTACCATCTGTGAGCCATAGCTAGAAGAGCACCAGGAAGGACAATATTTCCATGCTCAGGATCCTATTCCTGACTGGCTGGGCAGGTTGTATTACAGAAATTTGTAAAAGAAAATAAAAAAAAATAAAAATAAATAAATAAGTAAAAATAACAATGTTTTTGTAATATCTATTACTGCACTGCATTATGGACTACCTTGTGAGAAGATATGGAGTCTGTGCAAAGAAAGGAATATACTAGTATCTGGATAAAAATCAAATAACAAATATAGAAATAGGAAAATGGCAAGCTGAAAATACTTATCCAGAAAGAGAGAAAGTAACATTGCAAAGGGGAGGCATGAAGTCTCGTCAACACACACAAATGTTTGCATGCACCCAGCGTACAAGCTGCACAACCACCAGAGTGGCCGCTCAAGTACGCCTAATGCCCTTTTTGGGGGCACACATGGGCTCTGAAGCATCCAGATCTAGGTGGTTAGAGACTGATG